GTTGTTTAAAAATTTATGACCATCAATGGGCCCCCGGAAGCTGCAGTGCAGTAATATAAACATTTCAATATATATATCCGCGTGCATATGCAGCGTGAAGTGGGTGCAAAAGTAGCGCAAAAATAATTGCATTCCCCTTCCTGGAGGAGTACGAGAAAATTGAAATTGCACATGGGGTAGGTGGATATCCTCGTACACAAGGAACAGGGCATTAAATGAAGAAAAATATATTAAGCGCAGGAGTGAGATAGTTCATTGCGTCGAGCACCCCTCATCTGAGAAGTTTTCGGCTAGAGTAAAATTGTTGATTTCAGCACATGCCTGGTATTAATTAAGAGCGGACCCCAGAGATGTTCGGAACTGAGAGCTGGGAAAGAACCAGGCCACAACGGTCTTAATCTAGTAACTTAATGTTCATGGCAGCTATCCCTGTCCGAGTTATTAAGGCCTGAGCTGATTCGCTCACCGGATAAGCCGTTAGCAGTTAACATCATTAGACGTTTTGCCGGAAAACTTTCTCCTGGGCAAAATCCAAATAAATAAAATCGCATAATAAAAATTGAAGGGCGCAAAGTTTGCGACGTGATAACTATGTGTGCAGGGGATTTCCAACTCAACTCCAACTAAATTTTCAGGTAGTGCAAAAAGTATCGACACACTTAACTACGTGCGACAGGTGAGAATGGAGGCGAAAAAACAAAAATCTCAATAAATTGGCAGTAAGCGCTAAGCAGACAATTACTTGGGGATTAGCGTCATACTTGGGGCAAACTTGGTAGAATTCCGAAAACGAGCAGGAATCCACAGTGGTTATGCCCGCAAGGGGAATTATGAAGGTATTTTTACCCACTCAGCGAAATTGAAAATAATTCAGGACAAAAAATGTATCTTTAACAATTGGAGGTACATTTTTAAAGTCAAATTTAATGGTCTCTTCTGGCACAAGTAAATAATTACAACATTTTTAAAATGCCTATTTGTAAATCAAATTTATTTTAAGCAAGCCAGAAAACTCTTGCCTTTCATGGAAAAATAGAAGAGCAAAATATACATATTCTCTGTTTGACAATATTATTCAATAAAATGAAAAAGAAAAATAACCAAATGAATAATGTTTTCAATGGATTTGTGGCCAAATAATGTTGAGTACTCAAAAGCTTCTTGTGTGCTCAGCCAAAAATAAGAAATATATATTTTATATTTTATTTTCGAAGATCTGACCGATGCCGTCTGAAGAAATCACTGAAAGTAATTCAATTATATTTGCAAATACATTGCACTTGACCATTATAAATGCATTCGAGTCGAAATCAAACAAAATCCTGCTCGCTTCAGAATCCCCTGTCCAAGGCATCACTTTTTTAATATTTTCCCTTTTCGTTTTGCCACAGAGGATGACTATTTTCGGTCTTCATCTTGGTCACGACATGATTTATATGCAGCTATTTTATCTACCATGCGCACAAGTGGAATAAGCGAGTTTCTGCTCAAAAGAGGAGCTTCGAGTCCTGCAGTCTGGGGCCAAGCCAAAAACACAAAGCCTGCCAGCGATTCACCTATTCGCATGCATACTATAAACTTGGCTGCTCTGTGGTCGCATAAACTTTGCGTATGCACAAAGCCCGTATTATTTAAAATATGCATAAATTGGACTTTAAAATTTACCCAGCTAGGCACACAAGCGTATACCTGCGGCGAATGCAGCTTGAATGCATTTTCTATATACTAACATATCGAACAAGAGTTCGGGACCTGATATGCAAAACATGGGTGAGCTTAACATGATTCCGCCCGAAACCAGGCATTTGTTATTTTTTATTCTCGAGCGTTGTATAATGAGTTATTGATAATGTTGGTTAAAATATACAATTTAGTTTGTACTCTCTAATGCACACATATATATATAGTTTTTTTTATAGCATATGGTGTTAATAAATCAAGTGCTTAATTGTTTCGTGGAAACATTACTTTCAGAATTTAAGCATCAGCAAATGCTTAAATGACTTTTTAAACTAGCAGTAAAAATCAAGAATTCTAGTTTTCATTTGATTATTTTTCATCTCCACTGCCATTGTTTCTCCTCCTTTCAGTCTCGCCAAAGTAAAACACATTTATTCCATCTCTAATTATTCTTGTGGCAGCTTAGAAGAGCTTACTTTGTCTGACCAAAAAGCACCTTACTGGTAATTACGGCTTGCATACCTAAACTTTAAACACTATTGGGTAATTAAACATTGGCTGGAAAGTTTATTATTTCCCTTTGTCATTTACTTTTTGCCCATCGTCGAATTTTCACTGGCAAAGTTATGCTCTTTTTTTCTGCCCACTTGTCACCTGTCCCTGCAGTCACGTGCTTTTGAGTTGGGCGCGATAAAAACGAAAATAAAGTTGCAAAAAGCACACACACAGATTCAGGCATAACTTTTCCTGAAGCAACACAAGCTCAACTCAAATACACAAGCAAACAGAAAATACCCAAAGGTCTGCAGTTGGGTTATTTTTGTTTTCCTTTTGCTCAAGAGAGATTTTGGCATGCGGCATATGGCAAAATGTATGTATGACAACGCAAACTTTATGGCAGGTGGGCTGGCCCGGTGGGTGGATGGGAAAATGTCGAGGTTTTAACGAGAATAACAAAAGTTTGCTCTGCTCACTAATCCATTTGCTTGCCCCGCACGCATTAAATGTATTAAGTTTTCCGCTGAAACTTTTCACCAACGGAATGTGGCTGTGTTTCTTTCCGGTCTTGTTTTTTTTTTTTAATTGAATTGTATGGCAGCGGACCCTTTATTTGCACTTGAAACTACTTGTATTTGCACACGGCTTGGCTCGATGCACCATCTCGCTTCCGCACTCTCCCCTCTCTCTCTCTCGCTTTTTCTGTGTCTGCGCTTCATGTGGAAAAATCTAATTACTTGGCTGCTGTTTAACTAACTCCGTGTAGCAGCACTCAAAAAAGCTTCCTTCGCATGTGTGTGAATGTGTGTTTTGTTTGTTTTTATTGCCGGCGTACGTGGCGTATGCGTAATGTATGCCGGATGTGTCTACGTGGCGTATGGATTTTCCCCGGTGATACATTAAGTGCTTATAATTGGAACGAATGCGCCAAGTAACTTATGATGTTTACACATGACTTACAAATTGTTTACGTCGTTCGGTTCTAAGCATTAAGCATCCGCTGAGTCTTCCAATGCAACTAAACTGACAAACACAGACACACACACAGCCGGCTGGCAGAAATGCGGTTCTTGGTAATGGCCATGGTTTGGAGGAGCTGCTGCCATGTCTGGTTCTGCTCCGGCTCGGCTTACCTCACCGTATTTGTCATGCACTCGAGCACGTTCCCGATTGTGGCAAGAAAAGGGTGGCGAGTGCAGCATATGACAGCTGTGACTATTAGTGCAACAAGCCGGTGCTTAGTTAGATTTAAAAAGATAATCTTAATGGGAGCAGAAAAGCCAGCATTGCGTGCAATAAAAATGTGCCCTCAATAGTTGGAAATGTTCATGGAAATTTAATTTAAAAAAAATATGCAGTGATAATTAAAAAACAATTGAAAGTCTGTACGTAAAAACATCGTATGAAAAATATATCGACTACTAGAAAAAAGCTTCTGGCTGCCTTTTAAAAGAGTTATAAAATAGGTTAAGTTCCAGCAGGCTCTTAGTTAGATTTAAAACTATATTCTTTTTGAGTGCTTTCAATTTGTTCTAATTTGCAATGGTATCTAGGATTCACATTTTTTCAAGGTGTTTTTGAAAAAAATATCAACCAAAGGTTTTAAATTTTCTCCAATATAGCGCAAAATATGTCGTATGATTTTTTATAGTGTGTTATCTAAGTGAGAAATATATTAGGAAAAAAAACGATGAAGTTGTATAGACTATTGAAATTAATATTTTGGCTAAATATAAAATAACCACAATAAATAAAGTCTTAAAAAATTAAAAATTGCCTTATTTTTTGACTTACTATTAATTGGTAAATATTATGAGGATGGCTTACTGTTTCTCATACTTAAAACATTGCCTTCCCGGAGGTCAACTTCCCGACAAAAAGCTCATTGCCATCCAATCTAATATTAAAGCATATTCATAGTGTCAATTATCTGGATTCAGTCATTCCTCGGAACGCAGGAAATTAAAAATTCATGGCCCCAATTATTGTGTGACATTTGCGTTCTAAGCCCTAACACGCCAGTGGGAAATTAAAGAGGATCGTTAGTCCTTTAAGCAATATAATAAAACATTTTAGGCTAAATTTAATTTAATTATAGGAGAGTTCCACTGGCTTCTTTTCTGGCTGCCAGCGAATATCGCGACCGCTTCGAGCTGGAAAATTAATTACATGCAATGGCACAACAAAGTCCTCTTCTGATGGAGACTTGCTTGCTATTTCGTCCACTCAAACACTCAAAGTAAACTTTGACAACCAAGATTGGAGGAGGCAAACGTTGAAAAAAGCAGGAAAAAAGATGGGAAAATACACGGGCTGTAGGTGAAAAGAGGGAGGAACATTGCGTAAAAGTTGTCAAGTGTTCTGTTTACTTTACTTTTATCAACATTAGAAATCAATTAATTTCGTTTTAATGCCAAGGGGAAATCAATGAAAATTACATCAAATGTGACTGACTCGCTATGCTGCTTGAAGCTTCTATGATGTTGTTTTTTCAAATCATTTCAGCTTCAATAAGTTTTGAAATCAATGAATAATATACAAGCCGCAGAACTAGGAGTTTTTCTTTTTTGCAGCCAAAGTGGTCTAATAGATAGGTACAAATTTGATTTCGATTCATTGTATAAAGTGAGGATGAGCTTGGAATTACCAACAATTCAATAACCCAATTTGATCAGTGGTCAGCTACACGTTTTTTCCACAATTTTCATGGCTGTATAGTCAATTAGTTTTCAATAAAAAATTTGCTTTTACTTGTTTTTCTTTTTTTGCTTTCGATTGAACCAAATGAAAAGTAAATAATGTTGTTTAGCATCTAAGCTTACCAGCTGAATCTCTTTTTACTGCGTATTCCCAATGGTAATCCAAGTTGGCCGATTGTTAATGACTTGAATTTAATTAAAACACTCACAATAACACTGATATTTATTTAAGCATGAATAGACACTCGTTTTTTAGCTCAGTGGCTTTAAACGTTTCACAAGTCTAAATTATGTGAGCATTATTTTATATTTTTTGACGAGATTAATTTATTTTTGCTATTATTTTAATGCATGCTCAATTAAGCGGTGCCAACACAAAAACACAAGTGCACAGAGTTATACAATTTTGTATATATATAATGGGGCTCTTAATACGGGGCACTTTAATGCATTTATATCATCGATTTATGGTCGTTTGCCGTTTGAAATTTTACCATTTGCTATTTATTGCACTTTATATGCATTCCGCCATTTTGTTGTCAATAAAATTTGCCCTGCATCCTGCCATTTGCATTTTGATCAAATTGCTGTTTTCCCCGATTAACATGGATTTAGGTCAAATGAATCTTGATTAAATGAAGTTTTTATTATTGATTTAATAAGCATATGCTATTCTTTTTTACTTAATCTAATTTGGATTAATTTGAATCAGTTGTTCGGCATTCAATGCGAATTATGAATTATACATAATTGTGTTATAGCTTTTTTTTATCAGTGTGAGCTGTTTTGTTGGAATTTTTGATTTATAGTGTGATATTGTTGTGCTTTGTTATTTTTTTTTGGGTCATCCTTTTAATCGCTTAACATGGAATTTAATGTGGCTATTTCAGTCAGTAATTTATTGTTTACCATTTATTCACGCTCTTCTATTAAATTAAAAATAAAACTTCTTGTTTTCTGGATTTTTTTATCGTTATATAAATTCTTTTGTTTTTATATTTTTTAAGCGTTACTTGTGGCTTTTATTGGTAAGCAAACACAGTGTTTTTACTTGAGATTTAAAGATTCTGATTCTCTTTTTTTTTTTGGTTTTCAGTACTTGTTTATTATTTTTATTTTCACTTTGTAGAGGTTTTTATATCTTTTGATTGTAATATTATTTAGCAGTATTTTGATTAATGATTGAAGTTATTTTGATTTGTTGCCCTTCTTTGGGATATTTTTCTCACTTTTTCCAGCCACACCTTAAGCTATTTATCAGTTAGCTCCGCTACCATTTGGGTATTTATAAAGGCTACCCCACTACTCTGGTAACAAGTCAAGCACTAAGCACACACTTTGTTGGCCCTCGACGGCTCGCCTCGTTTTGTCTCGATTTCGACTGACAGATCTGTCAATTATGGACACTCGACTTAGCACCAATTGCGAAAAAAACAAACAGAAAATGTGCCGGTAAATCACGACGAATTCACGCGATTTTCTGTGAAGAGGATATATATTTGGCTGACGAAAGTCGAGGATAGTGTGTGTTGTGCTCGGTAACAGCAACGCCGCTTGACTGACGCTGCTGGGATGCTGCTGTCGTGGGCCATTCCGCAACATTTCTTGGTCAATGTTAACAGTGAGGACCCGACCCGAAGTTCGAAATGTTTGTGGATCGCAATGCGAAATGCGCATGTCCTGGCCTCTACGCTCTCTTCATTTTTTTTGGTTGGGTTCGGCTGACACACTTTTCGCATTCATATTGCTGTAGGTTAGTGCCTCGTCGTCGCCTTAAAGCCAGCGTGAATCGCAGGCTCACAAGTCCTACGTTACTTAATATGCCTGGCACCTTTGGCTCCAGACTCGTTTCAGGCTCTCGGCCTGGACTTAGCATGGCATAAATGATTTATATGGTGTGGTGCCACAAGTTTTCATCCATCTTTAATTCCGACCCGATGCCTAACCCCGCACATGCACACACGTCTCGCCACATTTAACTGCAGGTCAGTGTGATTTGGCCATTTGTCTGGGCCCTTTCACATTTCGCATTACGCATTTCGTGGGCAAGGGTTCGAGGTTTGGAATGGTATGGGGTTTCCTTTTGGACAGCTGCAAATTCATTTATGTTAATTTCGCTTGGTTAGACTTCTTGGCCGCAAAAACCAGTGTCGGTTTCGGACCGGCAGACACATTAACCATGGTTTCTGTTTGCCTGTTTTATGTACTCTCGTCTGTCAACACACAACGTTTCGTATGCGTTATTTTAATGAGGTTTTTCTTGTGCCATGAGGATTAGTTTTATGATTGGGCATATTAGTCAGTTGCCCCTTTGTGTGTGTTGGTTTTGCGCCATCAAATGCTTAATTATGCGTACATCGTATTTCTCCTCAGCATAAAATATTAAGCAGTGCCAATTGAGAAGACAAACACACGTTAAGAAATGGGATTAAAAGGGATTGTTTGAACGGAAGTGATTATTAGCAGAGCTGTCTAGATAAAAAATATATAATTATACTATTACGTATGATCTTGTCATATTAAAGGTTTTTATTATTCCCTAATTTATCAATTTGTAGAGTTTAATTTGAGTTGCTGTATTTTATGTATGCTTTCTGTTTTGAATTCAATTTCGTCTCAGTGATTTGGAATCCTTGCGCTTTGATCATCCATTAGCAAGAAACTCATTTCGATCCATTTTGCAGCACTCTGCAATGGCACACAATCGGGCTCGCAACAGTCCGCTGAAATGCGCATTCATAACTCAAAATGGCAAACTAATTTACGCCAGACTTATTATCTCTCCGGTGGCAACGTGTTGCCTAGTCCACCCGAGGACCTCTCACAATGGCGACATCCTTTGGAAACGGTCTCCATGGCCTCATTGCAGCCACTTGGGCATTATAGCGAGTCCTGCCAGTACGGTAGGCTTGGGGAGAATGGGGTGGCAATACCAGAAAAGCACGTGTGCGCCAAATGCATTCACCTCGCGATGAACACTGACACTCACAAAGACCGAAAGCCAGCGACACCGAGACTTGCCTGCAGATTCAGATACATTTACAGATACAACAGCAGTTACATACACAGGAACAGGCACAGACACAAGTGCACACACATAGACACTGCAGCTATGCATTTATACACGTTATGCGATTGTCTCAGTCTGCCAAAGGGGCGTGGCAGGCGACAACAGTTGCCAGGAATGCAAACAAGTCCCTAAAGTCGGTGATGAAGGTGACATACCCTCACTAAATATGGGCTCGTTTTTTATATATATATAGCTATTTGCATAACAATCCTTTTAGCTTTATCACTTTAAGTGTTTGTAAATCCAGGTCCAAAAATGTCTTGGGTTTTATTTATAATTGTGTTTAAAGATAAAATAATTTGTAGTTAGCCAATGTTGAAAATCACTGAGCTAAAAATCCAATGAAATCCACTGGCATACTTTTTAAATCGATGAAAAAGAAGTAAGTCTTTCCTATCGGCTGAAAATTTTGAGGTAGTTTATGGCTTCCGTTAACAATATTGCTTTCTATTAAAGTATATCTTGTAAACCATAACACACTCAGATTATATCACTGAAATATTCTTAAAATTTTATGAACATTTTGCATTTCATGAGCATTTTAAAGGCTCCTTGTACGCCATAACATTCCATAACGTTTATCTACATGTCAGGAGGACTGAGATCATGCATTTTTGGTAAGAGAATCATAGCCAAAAAAGCAGCAGCAGCCGAGGAGCCAGAAATTGCATTCACCTGCCCCGTTGCCATGCGGCCATCAAGGTGTTTTTGTCATTTTAGCGCCGCAGACGCCATTGGGACGAGTTCTCCTGAAAAAAAAGATAACGCCCTGCGAGACTCATCTCCAGAAAACGTATTCTTCTGGCCCCGTTCTTGGATTTACTTACACTTCAGCGAATTGTTGCGCATTTTCGAGGCTGCGACGTGGACTTGGCGAACTCGTAGACTTGGAGCCTCGCAAATGAGTGTGTTTTGGGTGGCAGATAACAATGACAAACACGTTGCCTCAAAACAATACGGACAAAAACGACGGAAACAACGGCAACGCCCCCGTGGTCTTGATGGAAAGGTAAAAACATCTGGCGCTGCATGAAATGAGTTGTCGTTTGATTTTCAATGGCATGTGTCTACGCTCAAGTCTGTGTCATGTCGCGTGATTTGAATTGAAGATGCTATCGCAAATGTGCATTAATTTGTCAGGGCTTTGGCAAATGTGCATGCTAAACCCAAATTTGTCTGCGACAGCAGTCAAATGCGTGAATAACGAGTGAGTGAGTGGAGCGCCCTCTTTGTACGCTGATTGCAAAATGTAGCTGGCCGGGTGATAAGTGAGAGGGACAGTGTGTGTGACACATAAGATTCGTGAGAGATTTGACAACAGATCAAAGGAACCTATGCGAATTAAGCCTTTTTAAATAAATATCAGCTTAGGCTGAATCTCGTTGACAAATAAAGAACAATAAAATGTACCAAAACATTCAATTTAAAAGAAATACAATTGTAAAGAAATAATTTTATAAAGACCAACTACGAAAATAATTTTAAATAAATTCAAGAGTAAAAATGCGTCTTAGGAACAATTTTTTTATTGAAAGTCTTGTTAAATATGTAAATGAAATAAAAAGTAAGCTTAAGCCTCATAAGCCCTCACTTTAAATTCCGTTCTCCATAGAAAATTACACATGCATTATTAAATCCTAAATATTTAAAAACCCCTTCAAAAAGGTTTTCCCTCAAGAGCTATTTTTACTTAAGGTATTATTTTTCTTTTCTCAGGACTCTCATTTAAAGCATATCATTATCAGCAGCATTGCATACTAAAAATGTGAGTTTATGACCTGTAAAAGTTCTATCGTCTCTTCCCTATTCCCCCATTATCTAATTTTTATTTTCAATTTTTGCCTGCCCTTTAATTTAGAAAATGTTCCTTCTGCACTTGAGCAGGCAATAAAAATATTTTAATGCAATATTTTTCTTCTTTCTCTTGTTGTCAGCCACTCGAATTCCCTCAGTTTACGGTGGCCTATTAAAAGGGCTGGGCAACAAAAAACCAAACAGAAAAACCGACCCAATATATCAAAAAGGTACAACAACGATGGGCAAAAAAGCTCCAATTTTTGGAAATTTCCTGCTGCTGAAGTTTTCAGTTTGACCAGGCCGAGAGCGTCCGTGAAGCAAACGTAAATGGCGAACGTGGCCATAAACTAATTGAATATTTTAGGGCATTATCTATGCCATTTATTGTTTGAGTTTCGCCTGGCTGGGTTTCATTTGCAGCTGTGTGCCCGGAAAGCCGAGTGGGAGCAAAAGCAAAATCAGGAGCAGTCCAGTCGAAAAAGGACGAGATGCCCCTAACGAAATCAGCGCTGGCTACTGATTTTATTTATTTATTTATTCGCCGGCTCCCTCTTTTTTTACTACTTTTCGCCCGCTTTAGTTCCGTTCCATGTCGTTTCATGCTCCTGGTAATCTGTTTGAGTTTTGTTATTCCTCGTGTATAATTTTTTCCGCCACACATTTGGCCAGACCCCAGGTTGGCCCTCAGTGATACGATACCTCCCGATTTTCCGTTTTCCCTTATTTCCTTCCGCTTTCATCTATTATGCTTTCATCATCTGGTAAAAAGACTTTAGTCGCCTTTTCCCTTCTGAGGTTTTGTCTAGCAAGAAGCTTGATTCGCCCATTTTGATTTTATTCTGATTCAGGTTGATTGCATTGGTATACTTTTAATAACTGTAATGGGATAAGTTAAAATATAACTTTAATTAAAAAACGAATTTATCTTCTTCTTGTGCTATCTAATTTCTTTTTTCAAATTTTATTTACATTTTTAATTACTAAATAAAAAGGCGAATACAAATTTTAAGCAACTTCAAAACACATAAATTGATTAAAGTTATAGAGTCACAAACATAATAACATATTCTTTAAAAAAAACCATTAAATTCTCCCCAAATCCTAAAAGTAAACAAGAAATCATTTAAAGCGATTGCCGTTAACTGGCTTGCCAGTTTCCAGCTACAAAAACTAGTCGACTGCCATTGCAAAGGCTCAAAGCATTTGGATTTTGGATGCTGGGGCTGGCAAAGGACAAATGTTGCTGGAACTTTGCGCGGAATGATAAAAATGGCAAAGGCTGCTCGGTCGGTCCAACGGAAAGGAAAAAATTGGCCAACAGAAAGGCACAAAAATCACTGGCCAGGGGGTTTTCTTTTTTGGCGTCCCAGGGCAAGTGCCCAAAAAGCAGCGCCAAAAATTGTGCTACAAAAATTGCATTTAAGGTATGCAATAAAATGCCATGCATACATTTTGCCCCTGCTGCGCTTTTTGCACTCGGCCTGCGAACAAAGGCCTTTCCCAGCGAGAAGAGGAATAAGTCCATTGAGGCACAAAATAAGATTATTAACATTGTTAAAGCGAACGAGAGCAGGAAGCTTGGGGTCTGTGACTTTCGACTCTGGTGCCCAAATAGGCGAGGCCTCTGATGATTGGCTTTGCCCAGGACAACAAGCGGATGTTTTTTTTTCTACCAC